TTGTGACCACTGGAAAGATATATGGAAGGAGAGATAGAGGAAGACAACGAGAGAAGATGCTTGACAGTCTTGTTGCATGGTTTGGAGGTGTGTCGGCACACGAACTGATACATGCTGCAGGAGATCGCAGATTATGGAGAGGCATGATCGCCCACGCTAGTCGGCAAGGCACCTGATGATGATGATGATGATGACTAGTAGTAGAAGTAGTAGTAGTAGTAGTAGTAGTAGTAGTAGTAGTAGTAGTAGTAGTAGTAGTAGTAGTAGTAGTAGTAGTCGCCGTAGTCGTCGTCGTCGTAGTAGTAGTAGTAGTAGTAGTAGTAGTAGTAGTAGTAGTAGTAGTAGTAGTAGTAGTAGTAGTAGTAGTAGTAGTAGTAGTAGTAGTAGTAGTAGTAGTAGTAGTAGTAGTAGTAGTAGTAGTAGTAACCGCAGCAGCATTAGTAGTGGTAGTAGTAGTAACAGCAGCATCAGTGGTAGCAGAATGTAGAAGTAGAGTAGTAACAGAAGAAACATCAGAAGGAGTAGTAGTAATAGTAGCCGCAGCAGCATCATCAGTAGTAGTAGTAGTAGTAGTAGTAGTAGTAGTAGTAGTAGTAGTAGTAGTAGTAGTAGTAGTAGTAGTAGTAGTAGTAGTAGTAGTAGTAGTAGTAACAGTAGCAGGATCGGTTGTAGTCATAGTCTTAAGAGCGGCAGCAGTTACAGTATTACCAGTAGTAGTAATAATAATAGTTCTAATAGTAATAGCAGCAACTGCAGCAGCAGTAGTAGTAGTAGTAGTAGTAGTAGTAGTAGTAGTAGTAGTAGTAGTAGTAGTAGTAGTAGTAGTAGTAGTAGTAGTAGTAGTAGTAGTAGTAGTAGTAGTAGTAGTAGTAGTAGTAGTAGTAGTAGTAGTAGTAGTAGTAGTAGTAGTAGTAGTAGTAGTAGTAGTAGTAGTAGTAGTAGTAGTAGTAGTAGTAGTAGTAGCAGCAGCAGTACCAGTAGTAGCAGTAACAGTAACGGCAGCTGCATCAGCAGCAGTAGTAGTCGTAACTATAGCAGAAATGCCAGTACCAGTAGTTGTTGTAGTTGTAATAGCAGCGACTGCACTAGCAGAAGCCTAGTCGTAACAGCAGCAGCAGTGCCAATAGTAACAGCAGCTGCAGCAGTAGTAGTCTTAACTTCAGCAAAAAAACCTTTAGCAGTATTGTAGGAGTAGTTATAGCAGCTGCTGCAACAGCTTTAATTGTAGTAGGGGACGTAGTACAAGCACCTTTTAGGCATCACTTTTCAGCAGTCTTGTTTAAAAAATACATTGTTATGAGCACCGGCAGCAGCAGCAGTAGTAGTAGTTTTAGTTGTTGCAGCAGCAGTAATAGTAGTTTAGTTGTAGCAGCAGCAGTAGTAGTAGTTTAGTTGTAGCAGCAGCAGTAGTAGTTTAGTTGTAACAGCAGCAGTAGTAGTAGTTTACGTTGTAGCAGCAGCAGTAGTAGTAGTTAAGTTGTAGCAGTAGCAGTAGTAGTAGTTTAGTTGTAGCAGCAGCAGCAGCAGTAGTTTTGTTGTAGCAGCAGTAGCAGTAGTAGTTTAGTTGCAGCAGTAGTAGTAGTTTAGTTTTAGCAGCAGCAGTAGTAGTTTAGTTGTAGCAACAGCAGTAGTAGTAGTTTAAGTTGTAGCAGCAGCAGTAGTAGTTCAGTTATAGCATCATTAGCAGTAGTAGTTTAGTTGTAAGCAGCAGCAGCAGTAGTAGTTTAGTTGCAGCAGCAGTAGCAGTAGTAGTTTCAGTTGTAGCAGTAGCAGTAGTAGTAGTTTAGTTGTTGCAGCAGCAGAGTAGTAGTTTAGTTGTAGCAGCAGCAGTAGTAGTAGTTTAGTTGTAGCAGTAGCAGTAGTAGTAGTTTTAGTTGTAACACAAGCAGCAGTAGTGGTAGTTTTAGTAGCAGTAGCAGCAGCAGTAGTATTAGTTTTGGTTGTACCTTAAGCAACCGTAGTTGTAGTAGTTTTAGCAGCAGCAGCAGCGGTAGCAGTTTTATTTGTAGCAGGAGCAGCAGCAGCAGTAGTTTTATTTGAAGCTACAGCAGTAGTTTTGTCTGTAGCAGCAGCAATGGAAGTAGTTTTATTAGCTGTAGCAGTAATGATAGATGTAGAACTAGTAATTGAAAAATGTAGTAAAAAGCCACGATTTAAATAATTTTGTCATTATCATCATTATCAGTTCTCGTTTCCATGATTTCCTGTCCTGTGCAATTTCCAGTGAAGTTGTCCATGTCAGAGATGCCTCATTCAGGTCACTCTCCATAATTTATCTCCATGTTGTTTTTGGGCGCCCCTCTATTTTCTTTCCCGCTGGTATCCCTGTGAGAGCTGTTTTGGCAGGTATATCAGGATTCATTCTCAAGACATGGCCAAGCCATTTCTATCTTCTCTTGGTTATCATACTGTCTAGAGTTTCTTGGTTTGTGACTAATTTTGTTAATGGCAGCTTAAAATAAATGCAGCCAATTGTACAAATGAAAAAAAAAAAATTTCATGGACACATTATAATTAATGTATTTAAAGTTGTAATACAATTACTGAGTTTTGTCACAGGAAAAGTGTTTCAGGGATGGAATGGATTTAATGTAAGGTTGAGGTTAAATTAAAGAAGTCAAGGACACAGTATAAATTATGTAATCAAGGGTACAGAACAATATATGTATTCAAGGGCACATAACTATTCATGTAATTAAGGGCACATAACAATTTATGTAACCAAGGGCACATAGCAATTTATGCCATCAAATTCACAGTACAATTTATGTAGTCAAGGGCGCAATACCATTTATGTAATCAATGGCACAGTACAATTTATGTAATCAAGGGTACAGTATAATTTATGTAATCAAGGGCACGGTAAAATGTATTTAATCAAGGGCACTGTACACAAATGTTGTTAATGGCACATTATAATAGATAAAGTCAAAGGCACTGAAAAATTTATTTAGTCAAGAGTACTGTACAGTTATTGTGAGCAAGGATACGGCACAGTTAGTATAAGTTATTTGCCTCGCTCTTTGAATGTTGTGGGTTCGCGTCACAGCTGCGTCGCTCATTTCACGGGTGCAAGCAGCATTAATTTTACCTATTATACTACGTTCCAAAATTCCACCCATCACTTGTTCTTCTTTTTGTGCCCTTCTAACCCTAATGGAGCATAGGCCCTTCAACCAACTTACGCCAACTCGTTCTATCCCTCGCTATCGCATGCAGCTCTCCTCATGTCCTCCCCATCTTTTTTAATTTCGATCTCTAGCTCTGTCAGACTTTAACAAATATCTCAAAACCCTGGACTGTAACTTAACAAGATTTGGTCCGCGGGCCGCCAGTTGAATTAGAGAATTCCCGGGTGAAAATACTAAAGGTACTGTTGACTGATTTACACCGACAGACAAGTCCTTGTGATAAACTAGTGACAGTTTTTTTAGCAGTTCCATTTTAGTTTCATGAAGTCCATTGTATCTGATCGTCAAGGGTGGGGTCTGATCAGACAGTCAATTGCAACTAGTGACCCGATGATGAATAGACTATGTCATGGGAAGTGGACACGGCCGACGTGAGACTGATCAGATCACCCATCAAGCACTCATTGCACTATGAAACTATACGTCTTGCACAATCTGCCAGATGTGCTAAAGGTGTCAAATGGGTAAATTACATTTAAATTTTTTGTTTTTAATCACTACAGTAAAAGTTCGTTAACATGAAATTCAGGTGACCGAAAATCGAGTTCAAGTAAAAAGAAAGTTGGTGCTAGCCGGTTAGTAATAGCAAAAATATATCCCTGCTGGAACCAACATTATCAACCGAGTGTTATTCTCAAGTGAGTTCATGTTAAGAAGTTTGTATATTTTACAATATGAAGAATGCTTTATATAATCTTTCAATGTCAACTAAGACTACAACAGGATTCATAAAAACTATATTAATCATATCTTGATATATGAAAGTAAATCATGAACAGTTGGTAGATTAGTGAAACGTTGTTTGAAAGCGGGGGAGATGTGGTTTTATAGACGCACGATGAGCATACAGCGGAACAGATAAAAATAGTAATAAGGATGTCTTGAAAGAAATTTACGCACGAAGAGAACTGATTGCCCACACCAGAAAGAAACAATCTACATTCTTTGTTCATGTGATGAGAAGGGGAAAACTGGAGTACATTGTGACAGCAGGAAAATTAGAGGGGAGAAGAGGCAGAGGGAGACTAACAGAAAAGATGCTGGACAGTCTGACGTCATGACATGGAGGACCATGTGTGTAGGAGTTGATTGAAAGTACACGAGACAGAAGGTTGGGGGCGGAATGACTACAAACGCCACAAGGCATAGACTTTTAGAGGATTATATATATATAACCTACTTAATGTGAAGTGATCCTAACATGTTTTCTTAGTCATAATTGCCATCTATGTGGGTTGTGTTTTTTATGCTTCCTTACAGCACAAGTTTACATAATCGTCTCAAAAGTCAGAAAGATGCCAACCAATCAATCAACATGCGCCATACATGTACAAACAGACTGAGGTCACTTCTTGGTCAGTCTGATATGGCCGTGAACAATCTGTCCCAGAATTCACGCTGTTTTCAAACTTCCTACCCCACTCATACACTTGCTGGACTGACATGAATTTATCACCATACCGAACCTTGATTCGCCGGGGAATTTCTACAAGTTGCATCCCATTCACTGATCCACAAATGAAGAACATACCCCCCGTATTTATTAGTGCATGTTAATAGCAGAGGGGCCATCTTTAAACTGTCTTTATAACGTCGCGGTGTTCACCTGCATCGTGATGCCACGTGCTTAACACTCTTGACATTCTGAACAAAAATAATCACAAGTTTGAAGACAATTTCATGGTGAATGTACTTTGTATCACACTGTTAAAGTTTTCACGTTTTCTCCTCCTCCCTACTTTTTGTTTCTTTCCTAGTGTGATGTTAACCGTTATACAACGTCCAGGTTCGAACGCGGATGTCTACACGTCAAGCAGCAATAGCGTTGACCAGTTTCTCCTTGAGCCAGCCGGATCGGACCAGGTGGTTGTACTTGATCAGGGACAGACCTCTGAGCACGCTGGGTATCTCTACGTCAGAGTCTATCAGTACTGGAATGATGTTTCTGTGTCTGGAATCTGAGGAAGGAAACAGCTCAGTCACTTTCACTGTCTGTCATTTCCACAGGATGTCCTAAAAGTTTCTATACATTATGAACAACAAAAACATATTTCTCTAACAAAAACCTTTTGTATTCACATAATACTAGATTTAATTGCCCGGCTTCTCCCAGGAGAGTGAAAGAAAGTTTCATTTTTATCCTGGTTTCCAACGCTGCTGCATGTGTAGCAGAAACTCCACAGAGGAGCAAGCACAACTTGAGTCTCCCGTCTTTAAGTATCTCTTGGACGTCCTCGCTTTCTTTACCCGTTAAGGTCCCATTTCAGTGCATGCCTAGTGATTCTCTGAATTTTCTAAAGTAAATACATTTTTACAGAGTGTTGGAGCTGACCCGTGAGTCACGGGCCGAGATTATCTGGTAGGAGCGTCCTAGACCATTTCTTCCCATTGTTAGCGCCTAGCCACCTTGGCGCCCATTAGGAGTGATGCGGCAGTGACTTGGGGCGTGACTCAGGGTTAAAATTCTGCATATTTGTAGTCCCCCATATATGGCCGATAAAGTAACAACCTCATCTAACATCACTATCTTACAGAATACGTTTCAGTGGAGATAACAAAAAAAGTAATTTACACCCCAAAAAAAAAACCGCAAGGGGATATAACTCCAGCGAAAGTTTACTTTTACTGATTGCCGTAATTAATAAAGAAATGCACAATAACCTGGGACGTCAATGTGACTGTTGAAATAAACATTGTCGTCATAATTGAAAATGAAAATGTAACCCGTATATTGGTAACAGTTTGGGAGGACTTAACAGTTCGTTTACAATAACCACACGCAATATAGAACTGGTTTGTGATTTATAGTATAGATGCTCTATATGACCACCGTTGTTTTGAAAACACATTTCCATCAATTTTCTCCACTGCTGAAGATCACGTGGAAGCACAGGCTGGAGTTATATATGTTGATCTGTCGTCCCCATGTGCGATGCAATTTTTCATTATTTGAGGCCACACTCTGGCTTTTGCCAAGGCCCTGAATATAGCCAGGCCGTAAATGTAGCCATAACGGCTGAAAGGGGTTTCTAGGACCTCTCCACGGGTGATCCTCTTCCGCATGGTAGCACTTTGTGTCACTGGGTGTTTGTCGCTTGTGTGATGTCCTGCTGGTGTAGAACAAGCGAGCAAACAAGCTGGAGTTATGCTTGGAATGTCGTTTGTGATGTGCTTATATTTCTCCTTTGTCTAGACACAGAGGACACCTTATGTTATATATCAATTACCAAAATACGTTACACTAGCACAGTAAAATCATAGGCGTGGGGGTGGCGGGGGGGGTGGAGGGGGTATCAGCCCCCTTGCAGATGTTCTAGGACAGTGGTTGAAGGAAGGGGTTAGGAAGAAGTCCTTGAGGGATCAACGAATTTTAAAGTAACAGCAGTAGCAGCAGCAGCAGCAGCAGCAGCAGCAGCAGCAGTAGTAATAATATTAATAACAACAACGATGATAACAGTGTTGTGAATTGCAAACGTATAAAAATATACTTGAAACACTGCGAAGTATATCAAAACAAACTTACGAAGAGAATTGCTAAGTATGTTTCTTGCAAACCGTGGGTAAATGTGTGTATGTTGTGGAGGAGCAGGGAAGGAGGAAGGAGCTCATTGTTCCCTGGCGTGTAGTTACACTGGAATCATTATTATATTATCTGTCTTTACATTCGCATCATTTATACAATGGTACCTTTACACTGGTATCATTTACATTATGCTATGATTATATTTTGTATTTACATAATGCTTTCGTTACACTTTTTTCGAACAATGTAAAGGAAATAAAGTATGTGATCACGCCTGTACAAAAATTAAAAAAGGTTTTTGAAATTAAAGAAAACAAAACAATAGTGTCCAGAAATGTCGCTGCCAAAAAAAAAAATAAAAAAAATAAATGATGAAAAAATTGGAAACGTCACAAAACTTTAAATATCTAGGCTCGATAATAGACATGAATAGGGACTTGTTGGCAGAATATATATAGGGCTGAGAGCAATGGAGACTTGTTGGCAGAATATATATAGGGCTGAGAGCAATGGAGACTTGTTGGCAGAATATATATAGGGCTGAGAGCAATGGAGACTTGTTGGCAGAATATATATAGGGCTGAGAGCAATGGAGACTTGTTGGCAGAATATATATAAGGCTGATAGCAATGGAGACTTGTTGGCAAAACCTATAAGGCTGATAGCAATGGAGACTTGTTGGCAGAACCTATAAGGCTGATAGCAATGGGGACTTGTTGGCAGAACCTATAAGGCTGATAGCAATGTAGACTTGTTGGCAGAACCTATAAGGCTGATAGCAATGGAGACTTGTTGGCAGAACCTATAGGGCTGATAGCAATGGAGACTTGTTGGCAGAACCTATAAGGCTGATAGCAATGGGGACTTGTTGGCAGAACCTATAAGGCTGATAGCAATGGAGACTTGTTGGCAGAACCTATAAGGCTGATAGCAATGGAGACTTGTTGGCAGAACCTATAGGGCTGATAGCAATGGAGACTTGTTGGCAAAACCTATAAGGCTGATAGCAATGGAGACTTGTTGGCAGAACCTATAAGGCTGATGGCAATGGGGACTTGTTGGCAGAACCTATAAGGCTGATAGCAATGGAGACTTGTTGGCAGAACCTATAAGGCTGATAGCAATGGAGACTTGTTGGCAGAACCTATAGGGCTGATAGCCATGGAGACTTGTCGGCAGAACCTATAAGGCTGATAGCAATGAGGACTTGTTGGCAGAACCTGTAAGGCTGATAGCAATGGGGACTTGCTGGCAGAACCTGTAGGGATAATAGCAATGGGGACTTGTTGGCAGAAACTATGAGGCTGATAGCAATGCGAATAAAAACAAGTACATGTAGGAGGCCTCCATAGTGTAGCGGCTAGACATTCACCTACGGATTGGAAGGTGGTCATTTAATGTCTAGATGTAGCGAACCGTTTTTTTTTAATGTATTTTCAAAAATTACCTTGGCTCCCAGTTTCAAGTCTCATTCTTGATTTCACCATTTCTTATCCTGTCTCCTTTAGAAGAGAGTATATGTAATTAAACAGTAAAACAATACACAGAAAAGTAACCATATTACCTGGATCCAACGTCTTGGCAAAGTAGGTCAGAAACAGGCACTCTTCTGAGGTGGCATACGTGTTTGACAAAATCACAATGACCTTCCCGTTACATCTGTCATGGGCAGTAGAGAAGATTACAATCACACATTGACAAAAAAGTATTAGAAATTACAATCATGCATTGACAAAGAGTAGTGTAGATTACAATAACGCATCGACAGAGAGTAATGTAGATTACAATCAGGCCTCACAGACAGTAGTGTAGATTACAATCAGGCATTGACTGACAATAGTGTAGATCACAATCAGGCATTGACTGACAATAGTGTAGATTACAATCAGGCATTAACTGACAATAGTGTAGATTACAATCAGGCATTAACTGACAATAGTGTAGATTACAATCAGGCATTAACTGACAATAGTGTAGATTACAATTAGGCATTAACAGACAGTAGTGTAGATTACAATCAGTCATTAACTGACAATAGTGTAGATTACAATTAGACATTGACCGACAATAGTGTAGATTACAATCAAGCATTGACAGAGAGTAGTGTAGATTACAATCAGTCATTAACTGACAATAGTGTAGATTACAATCAAGCATTGACTGACAATAGTGTAGATTACAATCAAGCATTGACAGAGAGTAGTGTAGATTACAATCAGGCCTCATAGACAGTAGTGTAGATTACAATCAAGCATTGATTGACACTAGTGTAGATTTCAATAATGCATCGACAGACAGTTTTGTAGATTACAATCAAGCATTGACAGAGAGTAGTGTAGATTACAATTAGGCATTGTTGCGCGCTGATTTGGGGTTAAGTGTGATTGTGGGAAGGGGCAATGGTATGACTGTACTGCCTGTAAGTTCACGAGGAAAGAGTGTCAAGATGATCAGAGTATTAAGAGGAGACCAGTGAAAACGTCTATTCATGAACAAAGCGTGCATGCACGAGAGAAAGTGGACGCGTGGGTTTCTGTGTGGTGGGCTGAAAGCGTGGATAACGAGATAGTGTGAATTAAGTGACAGCGTGATTCTCGGGTAACATCAGCCACCCACATATGCGTGATCCTCGGGAAGCTCACATGAGCGAGTCCCGGGAACACCCACAGGATCATGATTCACGAGAACGCCCACACAAGCGTGCCTCTCGTGTAATCACCATCCACCTACGGATTCGACAAATATAAATTGGGCTGCGTAGACAGTCCAGAGAGTGAGCTGTAGCCTGAGGGCTAAAGCCCCTCGGGGGGAGTAGATAGATAGATAGAGAGAGAGAGAAGAGAGAGAAAACGAGAGTCAGAGACCAAGTCGGGGTCCAGGTAATCTCTCGAGTCTAACAGACAAGAATACCGTACGACTATCGGGCATTTAGGTCCGAGTAAGTGTCGGGATTGCGGTACATGTCAAAAGTATGAGAGGACTTATGGTAGAAGTCCTGTCGGTCATTGGAGTCTAACCGACTAGAATACCGTACGACTATCGGGCATTTAGGTCCGAGTAAGTGTCGGGATTGCGGTATGGGAAATATGGTCCCGCTGGCAAAGTAAGTCCAGGGGACGGGAAGACCAGTAGTGTCTGGTTTCGGAGTACGGCAATTAAGTCCGTCTCCAGTCAACCGTGTTGTATGCTGAATTAATATCAAGGTCCAGTGAATGGGAGAAGTCGTCCTGTTCAGCTGTACGACGCGTCCATCGAGTGGGACGCCGCCATCCTGGTATCTGCAGTAGTCCAGGAGAGGTCACTACACATTGAGAGATAGAGAGCTGTGAGGACAAATGAACGATGCGCGAATGTCAGCTGTGATCAATAACTACGTCTCTGCATTTGTGTCATGTATCCTGTTAAATAAACTTGTATGACGGTGTCATCGTCGTCGAGTTGTCTTGTTAAGAAAGGAAGCTGAAGAGTACCTGCTAGACACTTGGTAGTGTGCTGACTCAATTTAGCACACAACAGTTTGGGGGCCAAGCCAAAGAACGAGGGACCTCTCAACATCTCAACATCTCAACATCTCATTCTCCAACCAACAGTTTGGGAGCCAAGCCAAAGAACGAGGAACCTCTCAACATCTCATCCTCCACAACAGTTTGGGAGCCAAACTAAAGAACGAGGGATCTCTCAACATCTCATCCTTCACACAACGGTTTGAAAGTCAAAAACTCAAGAACAATTCGGTACCAAACCAACAGTTTGAGAACCATAACAAAGAATGAGAAACCTCTCAGCAGTCTCAAATTCTCAACCGTTTGAAAGCCATATCCACTCAAGAGCAGTTTCGTATCAAAACCAACGCTGAGAGGCCAGCAACACATAAAGAAGATTCGCAGAATGTGTTATTGATCCTGTGTGAACTGTAATGTCAACCTGTTTGTCGTAAAGTGAAGAACACAGAATCGTCAAGACGCCAGAAGCCATGTTATCCAGGAGCTGAACCTGAGATGGAAGCTATGCTTGGAGCTGAATGACCTGCCGGAGCTGCGTTTAGTGTGTGTTTCATCTTGCACTTGTCATCTCATCGTCCAACATTGACAGGTCTGTAATTGTAAATTGTGTAATGTTTTATTGCAGTATTTACATTGCTTTCTCCACGTTAATTGTTTGGTACGTCTAAGATGTCATCTGTGTGAGATATTTGTTTTGTGGGAGGTTGGGAGGAGCGCTTCTAATTAGGTAATATTTTGTAGATTGCATAATTTAGGAGCTGTCTTTTAGTTATTTCTGTCTATTAGTTTATAGACCGGAATACCTAGTTGTCTGCGTTAGGTAGCGTTAATAGTCCTGTACGTACGGTTTGTTATCGGTTGTGTTAATCCTTGGTGCTTTCGGTCCATTTTCTTAAGTGTACCGTCATACATAGCTTGTTTTCTCGTTGTCTTGTTTTCATAAAAGTTAGCACTGTTATCGTAACGTCGTGTACTGTCTTTTATTGGTGTCCAGCACACTGACATAAATAACAGTCAAAATGTCCTTTGCTGAGTTTGTCAGCATAGCTGAGGAGTTAGAACTTAAGCCTGAAGACATCCTAAGCTTTGCAGAATTTAGGATGAAAGAGGTAACAGAAAAACAAAAAGCTGCAAGACAAGCAGAAAATGAAGAAGCGACTAGAGATGAGAGAGCTGCGGAAAAAGCTCATCAAAAAGATATGGCAGAGTTGGCCATTACAGAAAAAGAGACAAAAGAATTAGCGAGGTGAGTCGCTAAAGAAAGGACAGGATTCAAACCACTCAAGTGAAGAGGTGGTAAAGTATAAAACAAAATTACATGTTTTAAAACCAGAAAGTGAGTTACATTATGACATTGAAAGATTGAAGAAGTACAGTTGTGTGTAGTTTTTGATGAATCTATTAACATGGAAAACACAGATTACATTTAGTAGCTTATCAAGGAAGTGAATTTGCATTAGTCGAAGTGCTCACGTTATGCGAATTGTGTGGGGATAAGGCGTAGAGTACCCAACATGTTATTAGCCACAAGATTCGACAAGAGTCAAGCGTGGCGGAATTACGAGGACGAGGATAATGCAGTGCCTCGTGATGATAATTCGGCTGTGGGCCGAGAGACTCTGTTGCCTGGGGCCAAGTCTCATCAGTTATCGTGTATATGTTACAGTGACCCAAAGGAAGGGCACGTAACCAAAAAGAAGAATCTGTCCTGAGTGACAACGCGATAGTTATAAGAAGGCTATCGGTGACCCTAGGAGGGGCCGTAGGCCGAAAGCGAATGTTGTGGACTCACGCCGAGTCGAGGTGATGTGTTATCTTTCATGTGACACAGCCTTGGTAGCATATTATAATGTATAAGAGGAGCAATAGAGGGACAATCGTCCATAATCACCAAGTTCATTATCATCATCGTGTACTCATGTAAGATTGATTGAATTGACTGCAATATCTATTTTACCATCTTTGAAATGTAATGGGATATTACAGGGAAATGGTGAAAAAACCAGTATCTAGAAATGTAGAGATTGTTAAATTCCAGTTTCCAGAATGAAGAAGAAAGTAAGAATTATGTTTAAAAACTGGGTACTCAACATTCATACCACATTTTGCAACAATTGCTGTCTGCGTTTGTAGGAAAGGCATACCAAACATAACGAAATGGGCAGAGCATTATGCAATAACATTACGCGATTTACAAAAATGATTCGCTTGTATACCATTTTACGTTGCCTAATAAAATGTTTTCTTTCCATGTGGCATGGGACGTGTGTGACGTCAATCTAAGCGACATGCTCCCATACGACTTTGGAGGTCATTTACATCAGGTCATCAGGCCTACAGAAAGTTAAGCAAGAGACGAGGTACAACAACGGAGGAACATGCAGCTGTGGCAATTCACTAGTGTTCAAGGGTGCCCACAACCTGTATGAAGGCCGCTTCACTCTGTATCAAACATAACATATAGTTGTTAAAATTAGATTAATAGCCAAGTGTTTGCTGTATTGAGATATACAATGATACTTTAGTTGACTACAGAAATGTTATGATATGTTATGATATCACATGTCCAATGATTATTATAATATCAGCTCGCAACAAGGATTTGTTCTAACCCAACAACTGACAACTTAATTTCATTTAGTTGTCAGTTGGGAGAGGGGGAGGATATGATGTTGCGCGCTGATTTGGGGTTAAGTGTGATTGTGGGAAGGGGCAATGGTATGACTGTACTGCCTGTAAGTTCACGAGGAAAGAGTGTCAAGATGATCAGAGTATTAAGAGGAGACCAGTGAAAACGTCTATTCATGAACAAAGCGTGCATGCACGAGAGAAAGTGGACGCGTGGGTTTCTGTGTGGTGGGCTGAAAGCGTGGATAACGAGATAGTGTGAATTAAGTGACAGCGTGATTCTCGGGTAACATCAGCCACCCACATATGCGTGATCCTCGGGAAGCTCACATGAGCGAGTCCCGGGAACACCCACAGGATCATGATTCACGAGAACGCCCACACAAGCGTGCCTCTCGTGTAATCACCATCCACCTACGGATTCGACAAATATAAATTGGGCTGCGTAGACAGTCCAGAGAGTGAGCTGTAGCCTGAGGGCTAAAGCCCCTCGGGGGGAGTAGATAGATAGATAGAGAGAGAGAGAAGAGAGAGAAAACGAGAGTCAGAGACCAAGTCGGGGTCCAGGTAATCTCTCGAGTCTAACAGACAAGAATACCGTACGACTATCGGGCATTTAGGTCCGAGTAAGTGTCGGGATTGCGGTACATGTCAAAAGTATGAGAGGACTTATGGTAGAAGTCCTGTCGGTCATTGGAGTCTAACCGACTAGAATACCGTACGACTATCGGGCATTTAGGTCTGAGTAAGTGTCGGGATTGCGGTATGGGAAATATGGTCCCGCTGGCAAAGTAAGTCCAGGGGACGGGAAGACCAGTAGTGTCTGGTTTCGGAGTACGGCAATTAAGTCCGTCTCCAGTCAACCGTGTTGTATGCTGAATTAATATCAAGGTCCAGTGAATGGGAGAAGTCGTCCTGTTCAGCTGTACGACGCGTCCAGAGAGTGGGACGCCGTCATCCTGGTATCTGCAGTAGTCCAGGAGAGGTCACTACACATTGAGAGATAGAGAGCTGTGAGGACAAATGAACGATGCGCGAATGTCAGCTGTGATCAATAACTACGTCTATGCATTTGTGTCATGTATCCTGTTAAATAAACTTGTATGACGGTGTCATCGTCGTCGAGTTGTCTTGTTAAGAAAGGAAGCTGAAGAGTACCTGCTAGACACTTGGTAGTGTGCTGACTCAATTTAGCACACAACAGGCATTAACAGACATTATTGTAGATTACATTCAGAAATTGACAGGCATTAGTGTAGATTACAATTAGGCATTCACAGACATTATTGTAAATTACAATAAGACATTAACTGACAATAGTGTAGATTACAATTAGGCATTAACAGACAGCAGGGTAGATTACAATC